TTGGCTTTTTACTTGGATTCTGGGGTTGACTTCAGGTCTTCATGCTGATGTGGAAAGCACTTTACTGATTGAGCCATCTGTCCTGACCAAGACTTTTGAATTTTCACCTCTGTAAAACATTTTTCAGGGTATTTCATCGCTTTCTTTAATGTGCTTTCTACTTAACACAACCAGCAGTTGACTTTATTTTGGTAGCAGTTCTTCATGGTTTCTGAATTTATGAAGATTCTATTGAGGATAGAAGGATGGAGGGTGATTTAATCCTTAAGACAGAACCATTTGAGTACTCTGGAAGGGCTGGTTAAACAACCTCAGTCAGTGATTTCTTCAGCTGCTAGCTAATTTGTAGCAGTGATTTTTTTTTTTTTCCATGTAGACCTCCTAAAAGTATTTAAAAGCTATACCCTCCCATACATTTTAACACTGTTAAAAGATTTGAGTAGGCAAGTGAGATGGCTTGGTGGGAGACCTGTGTTTGATCTTTGGATTCCACTGGTGGAGGAACAGAACTGACTCCTGCAAGCTGTCCTTGGATCTCCATGTATGTGCTGTGGCACATATGCACACATACACAATTAATAGATGAATATTTTTAAAAATTAGGTAGTTGCCAAGAAGTTAATTTTTTTTGTCATATCATTGTTATACATTTTTTTCTAAGCATGTGTTTTTCAGTGTCAGTAACCTACTCATAGAAACTGTTTACAAATAGCCTAATGATGAAAACTAATTTGTATTGTTAGCAGCAATAGATTTCATGTTCTTTTAGAAAAAGGTCCAGCTTGGTTTATTAATTCAGATAAGCTAATTGGTTATGTTCTTATGACAACAACCATTTCATTTTCCAGTTTTCACTGTTAGAAACAGAAAGGCAAGTCACAGAGCTGCGCTTGTATTTGTGGGGTGACTGAGACAGGGTCAGTCCCTTCACTGAGTTCTTCCAAGAGCCCTTTGCTCTTTGGCTCTTAGGTTGAGAGCCTTAGGTTTTCAGGCTGGAAGGGAGGTACATGTTCCACCTATAAAGTGGGAGAAGGGTGATGGGAAAGCAGATCAGAAAACTCACTTTGCTTAAAACGTAGCACCAGAACTCTCAAGTTTTTCTGTACTACTTAGAGGTCTGTGTCTCTATTATGGAAACTCTTATAGAACTAGTTAACCTCTTTGAAACATCCGTATTGTAAACTCCTCCTCTCTTCTTTCTAAGACTGTAGTTGGACTTCATCATCTCTACTAGTTTATTATTTTCTCTCAGCCTTTCAGGTTTTTAAACTATCAACTTTTCCTCGGGTTGTTGTTTTGGTTTATAATCTGTCATAATATTTATTAAGTTACATGATGGAAGCAGGCCTACTTCTTACAGTCTCTTTTCTCTGCCATGTTTCTCCTTTACAGCTCATGCTGGACAGGTCACCTGTGTTGCTGCCTCTCCCCACAAGGACTCTGTGTTTCTTTCATGCAGTGAGGTGAGATCCAGTCACTTCTTTCCAACCACAGCTGAACTTTAATAGGCCCAAATCCTATTAAATCTCCAGTGTGGAGACTGGCCAGCAGCTGTTCTTTTGGATTATGGAACCCTTTTTCTTCCTAGGACAGTCGAATTTTGCTCTGGGATACCCGCTGTCCAAAGCCAGCATCACAGTTGGGTGAGTCTGAGACCAGTGATGAGAAAGTGGTAATAGAAACCCACTTGGAAGAGGCTTTGTTTGTCCAGAGTCAGAGCAGAGTTGCCAGGTGCCCACCCTCTGTGACATCATTTTCAGTGTCACTGATGCTCTGCTGACCTAGTGCAGTGAGTACCAAGAGGAAGGACTAGCGTCAAACAGAGACAAAGGGCTGGAGTTATGCTATAGTTTTATGCTTTGTGCTTTAAATGTATATCCCCCAATGACAGGAGACTGATGGATAGATGTAGGCTGTGAGGCTCGGGGATGAGGACAGGCATGATTGCCATAGCAGTATTTAAGAAACCCAGTGAAAGTGTTCCCAGGACTTTGTGACTTCATTTGAAAAACTGCTCCTTCTAGGTTGTGGCTTTTGTTTCAAACCTCCCTTTTCTCTTTTCTAGGCTGCAATGCCTCTGGCTACCTTCCTACCTCCCTGGCTTGGCATCCTCAGCAGAGTGAAGTCTTTGTCTTTGGTAAGGCAGCATGACATGCTGACTGGGAATGGGGCCGGGGGGTGGGAAAATGCTCCCTGCACGGTATACATGCTCTTGTCAGCTCACCTAGGCACTACATGAATTATGCCAGTTTTGTTTAGCTTTGGAGAACGTATTATTTTCCTAGTGGGTTTGGTGCCTCATTGTTCCAGCTCCCCTATTCTGAGCATGGTTAGTGACTGCACATGGTAACAGCTTGTAGTTAAAGTAATAACTTTATCCAGTAATTGTTACAACCACACAGTGGCTTACTGATCCTGCCTTACAGAAGGTAACTGGTGCTCAGAGTGGTGCTTGTCCATATCTTGAGGGACTAAGATTCATTTAAATCCAGGTCTGGCTGATAACAAAAAGCCTATGTGGGCTTCTTGTTGTTTTCTCTCCTAAGACAGGGTCTTTCTGTGTAGCTCTGGCTGCCCTGGAACTTGGTATATAGACCAGGCTGGCCTTGAACTCAAGGAGATTATCCTGCCTCTGCCTCCTGAATGCTAGGATTAAAGGCATGCTTGACCATGCCCAGCCTGCAGTGTATGTTCTTAACTACTGTGACGTGCTGTTTCTTCTACAGGTGATGAGAATGGATCTGTCTCCCTTGTGGACACCAAGAATGCAAGCTGTACCCTCAGCTCAGCTGTACACTCCCAGTGTGTCACTAGACTGGTATTCTCTCCACACAGGTACTGTTTGTCACCAAGGACCTGGAAGGGATGGGTGGGGACTCTGGTGAAGGAGTAGGAATGGAGTGATAAGGGATGTATCTATTAGCAAAGCATTAGCTGGTTACGTTGTTCCTTAGATGAGACAGTGCTCTAGCTTGGTTTTCCTAAGTTAGTCAATGTAGTCCTTATTAGGGTTGTATAGGCTGAAATGTGATCTCATTCCTGTTCAACACAGCTTGATTAACAATGTAGGCTTCTGGCACCATGTGGTTGAGGAGTCTGGTTCTGGGTAATTGCTAATGTAGAGAGGGACCCATTGGGGTAGTTGGTTGCCAGGATGGTTTCTTTGAGCATGGGCTCTGTTTGATTTTCCTTGTCTTTCTTTGGAATTGTAATGGCAGCAAGACGTTAACCTGAACTGCCTACCAGGCTGGCTTCTCACTTGGCTCAGTTTACAGTGGGGTTGGAGCTGGCCCAGTCAGGTTTTGGTTGTGGAATCTGTGGGCTTTATCTTCTCTTCCCTTTGTGCCCTCTCCTAGTGTTCCCTTTCTGGCCTCTCTCAGTGAAGACTGCTCACTTGCTGTGCTGGATTCAAGCCTTTCTGAGGTGTAAGTTTGAAGTAGAATCCCATGGTCAGGAATCAGGGATCAAGACCAATGGGCAAGCAGGTCTGTTTTCTCTTCAGGAACATGCATGCAGAATTCTTCCTTTGTTGGGTCTGGAAAAATGGCTCAGCAGTTAAGACCACTTCCTTTTGTTCCCAGCATCCACATCATTCTGCTCACAGCTATATGCCACTCCATATAGAAAGCATATGATGCCTCTGGCTTCTGTGGGCATCTGCACTCAGGTGCACATACTCACTTACACATTATTAAAAATAAAAATAAATAGAAGAAATTTCTCAACAACCACCCCTACCCCTGCCAAGAGTTTTCTCCATTTGTGTGTATGTGTGTGCAGAGACGGAGCACTGGAAGCAGTCTGATTGTAAGCTAAGTCTAGCTAGCATTCCAGCTTCAGGTAGGGAACCACTTTGGTAGCATGAAAGGCACTGAAAGGAACACCTGGGTGTACATCTTTGCGATGATTTCCTGCTTGGTCGTAGATAGATATATCCACTTCCTTGCTCTGCCCACCATTTCTTTAGACTGCATTGGATGATTGAACTTGCACTGTCTGGTGATGAGGCTGTACAGTGGTGAAATGTTTCAAAAAATGTGTCCTGAGCATGTTAGGTTTTCTTTCTGTCTTATCACTTGGGTTTTTGTCTTGTCTCTTACCACACCCCATTTCCACCCCCTTTGTTCTAGGTTTAGAAGTCGAGCCCACAGAGACTTCGTGAGAGATGCTACGTGGTCTCCACTCAACCACTCCCTCCTTACCACAGTTGGCTGGGACCATCAAGTCATCCACCATGTTGTGCCCCTAGAGCCTCTCCCAGCCCCTGGACCTGAGAATGTTGTGGAGTAGAATGGATTTCAGAAAAGAAACAAGCCCTCCACCCGCAAGAACCTACTTGCTTGCCCCTGCCTTCTGATTGAGAGCGCACAGGAGCCTTGTAGAGCATGTTTACTCCCTAGTCCTGTGCAGTAATAGGCAGAATCTCAGCCTCAGGGAGGCTGCATCCCATAGTGACTAGGAGGAGAAACTTCCTTTATAAATGTATGTATGTGTGAGAGCATATGTGTATGAGTGTATTGACTAGTTTGGGGTGGGGGAAATGATCCTTCAGCTTTCCCAAAGCAATGTTCTGTATTCCCCACAAAGTGACCAGAGGGTTTTATGCTCCCCAAGTCCAAGAATTGGCAATTTTGTTTGGCATATGGAATGTGGTTATCCATAGACTCATGGGAGTAGTTCTGCTACTCAGATGGGGTAACTTATTTTTATATAGAGTTTAATTCATTATTATGGGAAATACTTCCATTCACAAAAGTCCAGCCCACTGTACCTTGAGAGGACACAGGAAATACTACAAATCCCTGTTAAGCCGAATCAAATCCATATTCTGGGTAAATAAATTTGGCTGTTGCAATGTAGTCCTTGCTCACCCTGTGCCTTCCTCATTGTTGTGTATGAGAGATATGAGTGCTGTCCTATCATAGATTTCACAGAAAGTTTTAGGGATGATGGAGCACTTAAAGGTGTTTCAGTGAAGTCAGAAAACTGACATGGTTTGTTCCAGAGAAGTGTTTGTCATTTTTCCTACCTAAAGATACCCTGAGGCCTGATTGCCCCTGGGCACTTTCCTCTGGAGATAGGAAGCCTAAGTGCTGTATTTGTGGACTCCTGAGATTTGAGATCTAGTATTAGGGAAACTCAGAAATGCTGAAGCTGTGGTTATTTTTGATCTGCTTCCCTTAGGTGAATCACCAGAGTGTCAGTCTTCCTCCCTGCCCACTGTATTCTACCATCCCAAAGTAGCTAGTCAAGTTGGAACTTAAACATTTATTCCTCCTTGGTGGTCTAGCCACTCCCTTTAGTTCATGATAAATAACTGATTATATTGGAGCTTAGGGCGGCTGGTTATATACTTCAGAACTTTCCAACTTAAGTTTAGGAAAAAGCACATGAAGTGAGCCCCTTGAAGGAATATGGGCTTCCCTTCTATACTTGCTAGTCATGAGGCTCTGTTGTGATTACCCTTGAGTGAAACACTTGAGAATTTGCAATCATGGTCACCCAGGGCTGGGTGAGAGTATGGGTTTCCAATGCTCTTAAGTTGTGGGGAAAGAATAAAATGGGTAGGTGGAATCACTATGCTGTTCAGAGATAAAGCTTGTGTTTTGTGGTCGCTTAGGGAAGAAGGGCAGGTAGTGCATTTACATGGCCTGTCTCTTGGGCTCAAGGCTGATAGAGGGGGGGAAAAACCTTAAAGAAATAAGACTTAAAAATAAGAAAACTATGTTAAAATGGCTAAAATGACACCAAAGAAGAGAGGCAAGTCGGGAGAACTGTTAGTACTTTTCATTATTTAAAAATGAATAGTGGGTGGATAAGAACACTGCTCTTCAGAGAACCTAAGTTTGATTCCCAGGCTCACAACCACCTGTAACACCAGATCAGATACCTCTGGCCTGCAAAGTCACCGTCACTCACATGCACATAAAAATCTTGAAAGTTCCCTTTTAGTTCTGTATTGATAGAAAGTAGTTCACATTGATTGATGCTTGTCACAGATATACGAACCTAGTCAAAGCCACAAGTAATGACAAACATAATATTTGGATGATTGTATATTATAAGCAGAGAAGAATAAAAGACCTGGAAATAATCGGGAATATATGGCTGGAGTTACAGCAGGTCATTCATTGTTTGCAAGTATTTCCAGTCCTGCAAGGCCCAGTGACAGTGAACAATGGGGCATTTTGCTTGTTGAAAAGCATTGTTTTCTTCAGGTTAGTATTACTGTTCAAATGTCTGAACATGAATGAATGCTTTTCCTCAGCCCTGTTATTCATACTTAGAAATCTGTTAGCCTGACCACTGTTGAACTGCTGACCCCTGGCCCACTAAGGTCTGAGACTTGTTCCTAGAGTGGTTAGTTCTTGGGATGTGAAACAAGGTCTGTATAGTCTTAGGTGACATCAGATAATACTGATTTCTTTATGTATCTTCATTGTAGAACAGCTGGTCCCTGGTTCTTTAGTGAAGAGCCATGTGGCCATTGCTCGTGGCTTACTGTCATAGCTTCAAAATTACCCAAAGTCAGGGTCAGGAGATGGATCAGTGGGTAGAAGTGCTTGCCATCAAGCCTGATGACCAGAGTTCTGGGACCCACATGGTGAAAGGATAGTACTGACTCTTCAAGTCGTCCTCTGCCCACCTATATGCACATAAGTTGAGAAAGTACCCAAACTCAAACTGCTTTGGGCTTCTATATTTTTAGTATATAAGGAAGGACAGGCTATTGGGGAAAAGGCCTTATATTCTAAAACTCATCAACTTCACAGGTCATAACATTGCTGTTGGTAGATGGGAGAGTAAAGAGCTCTGGCTTTTAAAAGGTACTGTATTTGGACAGAATGTCGTCTTACTTTCTTTGTGTTTTGATAATTATCTGGCTTAGCTTTGAGTCCACCAAGTAAATGTGAATAGAAAAAGACAAGATAACCTTTATTGTGTGTGTGTGTGTGTGTGTGTGTGTGTGTGTGTGTGTGTGTATGTATGTATGTATTATGAAGGCTTAGAGCATGTAAACAAAGTCCATGTGTGGGAGAAGCTACAGAGAATTTGTATCTAGTCAGCATGTGTAGTGAGCTGCTTATTGCCAATATGGATAATACTGGGGGAAAAGTTGAGAAGCAGTAAATTGCTTTTGTTTGGGAAAGGGTAAGCAAGCTCCAGTCTCAAAAATTCTCTCCAGAACTTCATCTCTAGTCTACACAATACTGTTAGAAAGTAAGCAGGGCAAGTAGACCACTGTTGAATATCCAAACACATTTCCTTAATGAAGTTTTTCCATGACTGTTGGGCTTTGGACTTCCTATTGTTGGGCTTTGGACTTCCTATGGAAGCATGGATGTTTTAATCTTACTGTGTGGTAACAGGACAGGGACATCCAAAAGGGACTAAAGGAGGAATGAGCTTCTGGAAGGGAGGAATAATTGTTAAGTTACATAGAACACAATACATTAAACATAGGCTACAGTCTTAGCCTATGTTTAATGTGGTCTTCCACTTAACTGTGGAATACTTATAAATGATATTCTTGCTGTTCTTTGTATAAGGAATAGACTGTCAAAATTTAAAAGCTCAGTAAATAGAGTTTAGTCCCTAACGTACGGTTCTGGTGGAAGCCAGCCAGTATCACTGGTTGAAAAGTCACTCATGATAACAGATTTCATTTGCCCCTGTGATGTTAAGAGTGCCAGATTGTAGGCAAGCATCTCATTTTAGAGGCATTGTGCTAAAAGCATTAAGAAATAGTTTCAAATGAAAAATTTCCACTTTGGTGGTAGTTTTCACTTGGGATCTCAGTAATGCAATGAAGATTGTAGCTGAGAATACATTTAATATCTACAAGCTAAATTGGCTTCGGGTTCTGCAGTCTACAATTTGTCAGAAATCATGACATTGACCAGGCTTAGAAACATTAAGCTGGGTGTGCCTGGTTTCCCTGGATGTACATTTCCTCATTCCAAAGGCAGACTGCTTAACTTGTGGATCTGTAGCTATGGAGGTAGTCATGGATCCTTCAGTGAAGAGCTCACATCATCAGTCTGGGCTATGAGGGCATGTTTCAAAAACAAAAAACCAAAGTAAGAAACCTGGAACAATTGCTTAACTTTTAAATCCAGTGTTATAAAAGTCTAAGTAGTACTGGCATGCTCTCAAATGTGTCAGAATAAAAGACAAGGAACATGAGCTGTGAAAACATTGTTTTATGTGATAATGCACATTTTCTAATAAACATTCAATATGAAGATAAAAGGTAAAAGCCTTCATGCTTAACCAGCAGTCACCTTTTATAATAAATACTGGGAAATAGCCTTCACAAGATGAGGTAATTGTCTAGAAAATGCTCATTCAGGCCTACTGTGAAACATACTCAATACTCTGGAATTTTGTATCATTCACACAACTGATTTTAAACATGCTTCTGCAATTCCTCCACAGTGTCAAAAGTTTTTAGTCAAATGCTTTGATCAAACAAAGGACTTCACATCTGTGTTCCTGCCTTCATCTCCATTAGTCTAATGAAATGAGAGAGGTCATGTTGCTTTGGGGAATTCTTTAGTTACCTAAGTAACATACATTAGTAAATGCCTTTCTCCATAAGCATAGGTAAGCACTAAGGAATATATTCTAAGTGCCAGTGGATGTGTCACATAAGCATTGGCTGGATTTTTTGTTTGTTTTAAAGCAAGAACTGAAGGAATAAGACTGTGAACAAACAGACACATTGATTTCAATTTAATCCTTTCTTAATGTGATTATCAACCACTGTACAGAATCAGAGTTGCCAGCTTTTTGGCATGGTCACCCCTGAATTAGACTTGGCTTTCTCAGCATCATAGTCACTCCTGTGGATGTGGAGAAATGAGGTACAGACTGGCAGACAAATTACAATGACAGCTAGTGCTCCTGGGCAACAGTGTGAGTTGAAGGGCGCAAATCTCCTTAAAAGGGCATCTCAGCCGTGCAGGAAGTTTTGAAAGGCAGGAATCACCATGGAAGAAGGCTCAGAAGTAGACCAACTTTTCCTATCAAGGTCTCGAAAGGGAACCAGGAACCCCCCTCCCCCCTCAGGTCATGGGGAAGAGAGCCTGACAAGACAAAGGCTCCAGAAACCAACTGCAATGCCAATAATTTATAGATCAGGTTGCAAAGTCATAGACCCAATAACAAGAATTAGGGCACGTGACTAGTGACTGGGAAACACAAGCATGGTCATAAGAGTGAAAAAGAACACTAGGAGTCATTAAACCAATGGTGTAAGTTCTTGTTAGTCCTGATTTGTGTTGACTTTGGGAGGCTTGTTGATCTTCTGATTTAGGTTAACAGTAGCCCAAGGAATAGAAGATACATGAAGCATGTAGACAAGATTCAAGGGCCCCAGGGATGACAGAGTGCAGGAAGGGGCCCTGGGGTCTGTTTGAATTTAAAGCCCATGCTTCCTCACTGCAAGCATTGTTGCTTTCCGAGAAACACACACACACACACACACACACACACACACACACACACACACACACACACACACACACACATTCTACTCCCATTTGTCTTTTGTTTTGATATCTAAGTAAACTACTGCTTTAAAGATTATGAAGTTTCTTGCTTATTTCATTCCATAAATGAAGAGCAGATGTTCAACAGATTTCACCACTGGGCACTATGATTTCTCTGAATCCTCCATTGCATTGAGATCTGCTTAGCCCCTCCTATTAATACATAGGCAGCAACATCTATCTCAGAGAGAGGGCACACAGTCCGAAACCATCTGAACAGAGAAAGAAGACCAATGGATCAAAGCAACATCTGATGTACAGACTATTTCAGCCTTTGCATTGTTGTTGCATTTTTAAAAATTGGCTCTTGGGTGTCCATAATCATATTCATATTCTTGAGGCTCAGGGCCCATTCTCATGGTTGGCTCATATACTCGCCCAGATGTCTTCTGACGCAAAGTTTCAGGGTTCTTTTTATTTTTCTGAGAAAGTGATGGCTCTATCAGCTCCACTTCCCATGCAGGGCAACCAATAGCTGCTGCTGTCCCCTACCATACCAATCTCTCAGACCACAAGGCTTCGTCTCAGCTGATAGTGCAAGGTCAGAGGAAGCAGGGAAGGAACTAGCGCAATAGTTTTCCAGTCTGGTTGTACATTAGACACTGGGTCTGAACTCTCACTCTTCATGTCATGTAGAAAACATGCTGTTTTAGTGTATTTACTCCACCTGTTGACATGAGCTGCCTGGTAAGTGTCCGTATTTGAGTTTGAGCATCCTGCTCTTTTGGTCAACTTCCTAATAACATCTGTAATTAATTATCTCTTCAGTTTCTGTTTATTCCTGGGAGGTAAGAATGAACTATTAGCTCAAGGAAAACAGGCTTTCCTTTATGTGTGGAAACTGCAGGGCCTCAGTAACTCATCCATAAAACTTCTAAGTGGTATCACAGAGATTCATACCTTGGCGTGAATCCAAAGCTGAAGCTTTGGAGCTATATGATAACACTCACTGCCTTCTCGATAATCTTTATGGCCATGCTCCATCACGCAGTGTTTTCCCTCCACCTCAGCTGTGTGGAGCTGGATATCAGGAAATGGGGCCAATTGCCAGACAAGGCTCAGGAACACTGCCCTTGTCTTTGTTAAAGCCTGTGGTGAATGCTTGACTCCTGCTAATATCAGGCCAGGAATATGGCTTTGTTGGCCCTGAGAACCACACATTTCTGAGGTCATTGTGAGGTCATCGTTTCTGGCATGGCATGTATGTGGAGCTGGGCTCTCCCTCTGCTGCACATGGGCCAGCTCCTATTAAAGGGACTTGAGCTCCATTCCCAGAGCTGCCAGACAGCTGAGATGGGGCGACTGCTGCTGTGGGTTGGTGAGTTTGGCAGAGCCTAGCAATGCCACACAGCTCAGGAGATACCAGCTTGTCATTTCTCTGGTGCCCAGTAGAACAGCCTGGGACTCAGGGATTCTGGTTTAGGTACACATGAGATAGACATAATAAAGAATCAGAGGCACTCAGAGGGAAAGGGTCAGGGCATCGGTTCTCCAACCTAGTTGTTTTCATACTTGGGCTTCATCTTGGACCAGGTTCTTCAGGATTTCTGAGGACAGCGCTTTGATATGAGTACTTCTGAATTTATTGTCAGAACTGAGAACCACTGGCTGAGAGCCTTAGCTTGGACTTCTATCATTGTCCCTATGCAAAGCATGTACAGGTAGATGTGATGATTAGAAAAGGGGCTTAGACTAGCTCCACTATGTTACCTTTGAAGGAGAGGAACCCAGTGAGTGGTGTGTGTCACTATTTGTGCATCTGCATGTGTGTACGGTGCTGAGCTGGAGGGGGCACTTGCTAACTGCAGGGTGTATGGGCGGAGGGTATGTCACACTGCATGTGTATATGAGTTCCTCCCTTTCCTGCAGGGCTTGTTCTTCTGACGAAACACAATGATGGTAAGGAAACCACCTTCTCCCTTCCAAAGCCAGGGGATTCTCTGGCTAGGAGATCTCCATTCAGTGTCTCCTGGACTCCCACCTGTCTTGGCTCCTTGGTCAGAGGTTATTGATCCAATACAATTCAGCACAGGACGCTGGCCACTTGCTGTTTGTATGGCTCAGTACGTGCCAGGGTCTAGACCGATAAGGCATTCTTTCTTCTCTTGGGCCTCAGTAGCAAGGGCAAGAGGTCTAGGGACATGTGGCAGAGGTGTTGGTATTTGTGGGAGGGATGGAGGCTGTTACAGTGACCTGGTCTCTTTGGTTGTGCCTTCTCTACCCTCCAGAAGTCGAGTTCCCTCCTTGCCCATGATCTCTGCTAATACTTGCTGTCCTTGCCAGGTACTGCCTACAAGCTGGTGTGTTATTTCACCAACTGGGCTCACAGTCGGCCAGATCCTGCCTCCATCTTGCCCCATGACCTGGACCCCTTTCTTTGTACACACCTGATATTTGCCTTTGCCTCAATGAACAACAATCAGATTGTGGCCAAGAATCTCCAGGATGAGAAAATTCTCTACCCAGAGTTCAACAAACTCAAGGAGAGGTATGTTAGATGTGCGGTTGGGCTTTCAGATTTTATAGCCCGAGGAAAATTAAGCCTATTTCTCTTACTACTCTTAAATTTTCCTGATTTTTTTTCTATCCCTACCTTTCTCTCAAATGGGGATCTGAGTGCTTCCAACTTAAGAGCTCTCTATTGCCCAGCTTCCTGAGCTGCTGCTTGCCTCAATGACTGGGTAGTTAATGTTGCCTGTCCCTGGATGTCTTCACACTCCTTTCTCCTGGTAAACTCTGGCTCACCCTTTGAGCACAGCTGTGAGGGATTAATGCTGCTAAAGTGCTTCAGAGAGGTGAGTGGGATGCTTGTCTATGTGTTTGCTGTTGTGTTTTAGTCAAGGGCACAGAGTGAATATTTTTTTACTGTTTTAAACAGTCAAGGGCTCAGTGAATATTTGTTGAGTCGGAAAATGAGTGACAAGAAACATTTTAGACTTTTCGGAAATATTACGGGGTAGTGAAGGAGCTTGGGGCACTTTGTATAGTCTTGGTGTACAGAGCTGTAATGGTCGTTGGATTGATTATTCATCTCTATTTTCTTTACGTCTGTGCTCTCCCTCACATACCTTCGCCAATTCTTCTCATGCCCCCTTCTCCATTTCCCTTCGTTTTCCCAATGCACAGAGGAAAGAAGAGCAGTGACTGCAGCTGCTTGTAGAGTAGAGACCTGTTCACCCACTTTCTCCCCCATGTTCCAGGAACAGGGCGCTGAAAACACTGCTGTCCATCGGAGGGTGGAGCTTCGGCACAGCACGGTGAGCGGCTCTGTCACTGTCTTCTCTCTGGGAGGTAGAATAAGATGGGCTGGAAATGAGAATAATGGTGTGTGTGTGTGTGTGTGTGTGTGTGTGTGTGTGTGTGTGTGTGTGTGCTTGTGTAAAAGCTAACTTGGATACAAAGACAGCAAAGCCCATGTTGATACTTCCTCAAGTGCTGGATTCAAGGGATCCTTTTCCACGGAGGATTACATGAGGGAAAGAGGTTCCTAAAGGTGGTAAGAAAAGGGGCAGGGGACCACGAGAGACAGTATGGTGCACTTAGGACTGACAGTGTGCCACAGTGGCAGAGCACAGTGGTGAACAGGACCAAGACCCTGGGTCTGACCCTTAGCACC